GATTCAGACAAAGTGAGATAATTATTTTATGTGATGTTATCCGACTTGCTGTCATTGTTTTCAGTTGCTCCACTTTGTAGAGCAGAGCATTATGCATAACCTCAAAACTGACATGTTTCAGCTTCTCTGGTGGAAGTAAAATCAACGTATTTCACCTTGGAACATCATTTCTTACCAGCACATCGCTTTTGAAGACAATAAAAATTTTATCTATTGAATTAAAATTAGCCCAACCTCCCCTGCTGAAAAACCCAGCATAGACTAGCATTGGCGTTACCATTATATGTTGCGTCTTGGTGCTGGTTTGGCTGGTGGGCCAGCATACAATGCTAGTCCAGGATGGGATGTTGTCCAGCATGGACCAGCGTACTGGCACCAAAACACAACACATGCTGCTCTATGCAGATTTTTTCAGTAGCGCTGGGTGATCTGAAGTGCAAAAACAAGACCAAATGGTTTACTGTTAGGAAAGCAAATCTTATCCTTACTCTCATCAAAAAGCAGCAGGCCCCTCCCCATCCCAAAGATCTCACAAGCAGCCCAGTCCTGGTACAGATGTTCTTCTCCCAGCAGAAAATGGTACCTTTCTGTATAGTGGCATTGTGAGGTTGCCATGGGGCCTTAAGCAAAAGACCTGCTGCTCATTGTCTGTCAGACTGAGGGTGCGGAAAAGACTCCATCTTAGCGGAAGGAGGGGGATGGAAGACGAGGATGAGAACGTATGAAGCCCATCTCTGTCTGCAGTGCCCAACAGCGCTGTGACATGACAAGGTTTTCTCTGTCACTGTTGTTGTGGTTCTAACGTTGTTCATCCGATCGCTCTGTGCCAGGGTTCCAGGAGGCCCCAAGCAATTGTCTGTCCTGCCTATCAGCACGCAGCGCCTCTGCGTCTGTGTTCAGACTCCAAGTGGCTTGTGGAGCAAGATGATTCATACCTTTAGTTTAGCTGTTCGGTCTTTCGTGTTGGTTGACTTTTTCTCAGCCAGGGCACAATATTCAAGGATGCTCAGTTTAGCAGTTTATTCATGTGTCAGTCCGTCTCTGCTTGCTGTGTTGCACACCTTCCACCCTTCCTGGCATTTCTGCTCACCTCTCAGGCAGCTTTACTCAGGCAGTCTGGCCACATGATTTACAAATCCTGCTTTCGTCTTCAACACCCTTGGGACTTTGGTGTCTTAATGATTTATTCATGCCATAGAGTAACTGGTGTGTCGTCTGGCGGTGTTGGGTATGTGGTGCATCACAGCAGATGCTTCTTCACTACTCTTATAGTCGAGAAGAAGACATTTTAATAAGTTCTTTGCTACAGAATGAGTAAGTCATTTTATCTCTGTAGGATAAGGTTTGTCCTCCCCTGTCTGTTTGGCTTTGCTGCTACAAATGAGCTGTTGTCTTGTTGTGGTGGCCCAAGACTTGATGCAGACTAGGCAATGTGAGGAAAATCTAATATCGCAATATTTGTCTTGACAATATCTTGATTCCTTGAAAGAAAATGTCATTATGAGCGTCATAGTGCCTAAAATTGCATCAGTATGCTCATTTAAATCAACAATTCAATATATTGTAGTGGATGACCTTTTGTGGAATAAAAACAGAAAACAAAGAAACAAAACTAGCAGCAGAAAGAGCAGGCAGCTTAAACTTGTGCTGGTAAGTTTTCTGACTCTAAAGCCATTTCAACCCTAGTAGAGTCCACTTCATTCTGGATTGCTGTGATCAGAAAAACAAAACCAAACAGAATAAAACTTACTGAAAACAACTGCATATAAATGTGACACATATTATTACACGCTATCTTTCATTACAGAAATAATTCAAAGGACATCCAGAGTTGAACTAGACATCTCTTGATCTGCACCCAATTGCTCTGCAACTGAGCTACACCCCACTGATCAAATACTGCAGCAAGCGTTGGTAAAATAGAATTTACAGTGTTGTTATTTACAGAGTCATCATGAAGGTGTGGTTGACTGAAAAAACCTATTGTGATTATTATTTCTGATAAAAATCAGTCACTCTTGAGTTTTTCATGCAGGCTGAACATGAAAACTGTCTCCTACACCTATCTGCTGCGTTAGCTTCTGAAAGAAATGTAAATTAGCATTCATGACCCCACCCATCTTGGGTCGTACCCACCCACAGGAAGGCTTTTAAAAAAAATCTGCAGCAAGGAAAGAGACTGGAGTGTGGTAGTGACCTTGCAACATGACTGAACATGTTCTGTTAAGCCGGGCGGACACTGTGCGACTTTTTCACTCGCAGCGTTCAGCTTCAGCTCAAACTGTACGACTTCCTCGCAGAGCAGATCTCACGAGTCATGCTGCAGGACACACAGGGATGTATGGGGGTTGGATGAGTACACCGAAATAAAGAAAGTAAATCTGTGTTTTGTGATCAGTTTAATTTGACATGAACACGACAAACACGCTTTCTTGACAATCTGTGAGTAAAAAAACGTGTAGAAACAAAAACGAACAACGTGTGTTATTAGGGAAATAGCGAGCGGCGTTGTTGCAGGATTGCGCATGCGCCGTAAGCGGTTCTGATACTTTTCGGGTCGCAGCTGCTCGCAGCGCCGCTTTCAACAGTGCGATACCCTCACGGGGGACGAGCGAAATATTAAACACGCCAGAAGTCCGTGCAACCTCACGACTGCTGATCGGCGGCTGGTCACGTGGTGTTAATCGCCTCTCGTAACCCCCTGTACACTACACGACGCTCGACGCAAAACTCGCGCCGATGTCATGGATTCGCGCACGACTGGAAAATCGGCTCAAAAAAGTGAAAAAGACGCACAGTGTACGCCCGGCTTTAGCCAATCAGGTGTTTGTGAGGTGTTTGCATATCATTAATAATAATGAGCAATCCTGCTGTGTTTAACCCACCTCTGCACCAGCTAACTTCTGCATCTCAGAACAGAAGCATCACAGCTATTTTATTTTTTAATGATTTAATGTTGAAAGTTAAACTCAAGTACGTCTAACACTTTCATTGTGCTGAAAATCACAATGACTGAGGACGTTTTTAGATACCAGATACATAGTTTGCTCTCAGCCTCACTCAGACAAGCCTAGCTTGTCAAGATGGCACAAGCAGAAATGCTTAAAGATCTGAAAATCCCTCCATGTGACCATTAAAGGATATCTGCTAGACCATAATGTAAAATGCATGCTACTGAACACATCTAAGGTAGAACATTTGCCTTCTTACAATGCTCGTCATGCAAATAAAAACACAACAATGAGTCAAGAGTGAGGGTCATTCTTTTTGTTGAAGAAAGAAGGAGATAAGAAAGTGAGATTTGATCTACTCAACAAGAGCGAAGTGAGGTTTATCACACCCAGAACATACATCTAATTTATTTGTGTCAGTATCTGATGATGTAGACTCCCTTTGGACAATGACACTGACATGGTACCTAGAAACCTGTAATGGATAATGTTTAAGAATCTGCTCTAGGGAGCGAACCAGTTCTTTCAACATATGATCAGGTAAAAAGGCACAATCAGTACTTTCTGAAAGTTTAGTTAATAAAACATAAAATTTCTATAACACCCATGCAATTTGAATTGAAGTTTGCTCAGCATTAGCCAATAATGTCAGTCACAGGGCGGATGTACCTAGACTGATGCAGAGTTGGTGTCATACCTTAGGGACAAGCAAGTCTTTAAAATAGATATGGCTTAACAGCATAACATGAGAATATTTACTGTAAAATAATGTGTTTTGGCTAAAGGTCCGTGTTCCCTAATGAGAGGTGTTGCTTCCAGTTGTAATTATGGAAGAAGGGAGATGGGGCTTCAGTAACAATAAAATTTTCTACCTCTAGGTTGAAGAAACAAAAACTAGATTTGAGCTTTAACAAGACAATGTGTGGTTTTTACTGTTGATCTCCGGAAATATCCATTGAAAGGTTGTTGAAAATTAATTAAACAATGCCCAGTTGTGGAAAAATGCTTGCGCTTTTGTAACATACAACCATAACAATTGAGTCTAAAATACATGCGAGCAGGTCTTAAGTCTCTGGGTAACGCCATATTAGATGCTAGGTTTCTTTTAATAATTTTTTAAATCTTTTTTGTATTTTCAATTTTTTGTTTTTGTGAAGCGCCTTGTGATTTTTATCTTGAGAGGCGATAGAGAAAAGATTGTTTTCTTTCTTTCTTTCTTTCTTTCTTTCTTTCTTTCTTTCTTTCTTTCTTTCTTTCTCTACAGTACGGCTGTTATTTGAACTGGAAGCAGAGGAAGTGGGCAGAAACTCACAGCTGGAGTCTGAGGCAAATAGCGAGGATGTTGATGACGATGTGGCAGATCCATCCTTCCTCATAGAAGAGTTGGGTCATGATGAGGTAGAGGATGAAGGCAGATATGCAGCTCCTCGGAGATCCAACAAGAGACCGCGGTCAAGTGAGCCGTCATTTGTGAGCCGCGGTCAAGCCAGCCGCACTCCAAATGCATGTACATTATTGCCAAATTAAAAAAATAAGTATAAATTCATACAGTCCAGGTTGTCCTGAAAAAAAAAATGATACCCCATAAGGCAATATTTTATTAGAAAATACAAAAGAAAAACCAAAATGAGTCAAAAACGGTGAGAGGGCTAATAATTATTTTTAAAAATTTGTTATTTGCTATATTTCGTCATATTTTTTATAAATGTACAGTCTAGATTACCATTCTAAGTTATAAAAAACATCCGTCATAAATGTTTGTTGGTTTCACAGTAAAATACAACTTTTTTTCAATTCGGATTTTATGTTTTTGAGTGATTTAAGGTCTAATATGCAACCCCTTTATGTCCAAATATAATAAATAAGTATAAATTCATAACGTCCAGGTTGTGCTGAAAAGACTGATACCACATATGGCAGTGGTTATGATTTTTATTTTGGAAATACAAAGGAAAACTCTATAGTCAAAAACGGCAAATCATACCCTGGACCCCAGAGGGTTAAGTCAGGGTGGCTGACGGAGGACAGGAGGTAGTTGTGAAATGTGCACATAGAGAAAACAACAAGACTGATCTTGCTCCCTCCAACCACAGCTGATGTTGTTGAACTTTGTTCTTCTCTGGCACAGGAGGAGTGAATACATTACCCACCGGTTTACACTTCAGCAGAGAGGGAAGACGAGGAGAAGGGATGATGCACAAGGGGGAATCGGCAACGGAACAAACCCAGTGAGGAAGGAAACAAACTTTCCTGGATTAGAACAAGATAACTATATTGGAGACACCCAGCAGCTGCTGGTATGTGGATGGAAACCAAACTGGAAGTGGAAGTCAGCGGGAGTCATGTCGGATCCAGTCGGCGTGTGTTGGACGGTCTGATCACTGGAGACATGGAGCGCTTGGATAAGTTCATGCAGGGTAGGAAAAATGTGGAATTCATTCATGAAAACAACAATATTCGGGTGAAAGTAGGAAAAGTGTTCCTGAAAGCACATTTTAGGTGTTTTCTTGTTATGATTAATGATAAAACCTGTGCCATATTAGCATTGCCATCAATAAATAACCCATAAATGCTTAGCTTACTGTTAAAACATGGAGATGTAATCATAACACAACTCCCACAGCGCTGCACCCCCCCCCCCCACAACAGAAAACACAACCATCATTAAAATCTCATTTTCATCCTTTGGAAAAACCTCACATTTGCAGAAAAAATATCCAAGAGAGGGTGTTGTTTCTAGAAACTTTTTAAAAAATGCGGCTTTTCGTTGTCTCTTCTTCATCCCAGACAGGGGGTTTGTGCTGCAGCTGCCTGTGTGGGTGCTGAGGGGGGTGAGCAGGGTGATTCTGGCCAACAACCCGCTGAGCGGGGCTGTCATCCTGTCTGCTCTGTACTGGGCTTCTCCCTGGCAGGGCCTGCTGGGAACTCTGGGTGTACTGGCCTCAACTCTTACAGCTGTCATCATGGGACAGTACAGGTGAGGAAATGTCAGTCCAGCCGTGGACCATGAACATTGTGCCCTTTCTTATTTTGCTTTTCCCCTGACTCATGCTGTGTCTGACTGGAGACACAACATCAGATTTAAGTCTACAAAAATAAACCTTCCCCATTTTTTTTCTTTTTAAAACCACGTTTACATTGCTAATAGGTCCTATTGTTCAGTTCTGCAACACTATTGGCTGTTAAAATGTGTAAATAGGCCCGTTTATCTGGCCTCCTAGAACAACATGTGAAAGGTTAAAAAAAGATTTTGCAGTTGTTTTCTAAATTTGGGTTTCTGGGGGTTAACAAAGGGGAAATGTTTAGTGGCAATCGCACTATACTGAGAAAAGTTCTGTATGATGTTTTTATATAGCTGGCATGAGACAAATGGATTAATTGCAAATAAAATGACACAATCGTACGACCATAACGCTTTTTATTGTTGCAGATTAGTCAAAAGGTGTCTTCATTATCCAGATGTAGCCCCCTGGGACCCAAACTTGTATTTGGTGTGATTTAAAAGAAGAAGAAAAAAACGTATCAAGCTGTTGCTGATAAGTCAACTTTGATTAACAGAAACAATATTACAATCATTGAAATACAATAAAATTTAAATTTCTAATTATGTTAAAGGGTTAAGGGTCACTTTTCACCTATATGTTGACCTGCATAGCGACCGGTCATCTACAGAACTAATTCCATCATCTAGGTGGATTTTCTATCCTATCTTCTACAACCCAGAAGTTACTGCTGTGCTTGTTACACAAGGTAACAAGATTGTCAACCTTGGTCTCCGAACAATGCTTTCTTCTTATCTCAGGATTCTGCTGGATTCCACTCTGAATAAAAAGTGAACTTTTATAACTCATAAGTTAAATAATCATATGGTTGAATGAACCAGATGTTACATGAATAATAATAATAATGTTTGAATAATCTGTGCCTGATTCAGTGAAGTTGAAATGAATGTTGTTATTACAATGATACATTTATTTATTATGATTAGTACTGTGATTTCACAAGTTAATCATTATCTTAACTCACACACAATGTTCATTAGATGCAAATTACGGTTAAGGTAACCTCACAAAAGTTTAAAGATTCTTTATCTGCAGAATTAGAACATCTTGTATCTGGAAAGTAGGGATGTTTGGTAAAAGCCTACAAAATGTCAAATTCTGATTTGCAGAAATGAAAAAGTCAAGATTAATAAAACTAGGATTACTTCACGAGTTATTCAGTTTCCAGCTGAAACACCAAAGTGGCCCATTCGGAACCAGCCTCTTTTGAAACATCTCTTTGACATCCAGTCAAAACCAGTTTGCACGCTTCAAGCTGACACAGCCTCACAACTCCTTAAGAGTCCATCCGTCTTAGACGCAACAACCTTCATGCCTGTTGTGACCCGGAGACATCCCTGGACTGGACTCGTCGCAACGCGGTTAATCTACGATCTTCAGTGCCTTGAAGTCTGCATGACTTCCTGACATTCTGGATCTGATGGGGTCTCCGATCAGGGTTCGTAGACACATCAGATTGTGTCTGATGTTGTTTTATTAATAATCAACTCTCTAGTTTAAAGTATGCAACAAATTATTTTACACCCAGAACTCACAGAATCTTCCAGATACAAAGTTTCTGATATACATCACCTCACACATCACATCACCACACATACACTCCATCACATATGATTATTCATAGCTTGTCATGTATTATAATTAGTCTAGAAAATAAAGTTTATTTTTAATTATATGCTTTACTCTGTCTGAATTAATAAGAAGTGTGTTTATGGTCACTGAATGAGCGAAGAATCCTAAATTCTTCTGGTTAAACATTCAAAGATCAATCAGGTTGATATTTCATATTTATATGGAATCGTCACATCTTATTGGTCATAATTAAATATGCAGTCGTTACACTATGAAGTCTAACGCTACACATGTACCCTAAAAAAGGAAAGACAAAAATTAAAGTTTTAAAGTAAAGTCAATATCAAGTATCTATAAATAATAAAAAGGTCTAAGTAGAAGAGAATAAAATGTTACCCCAATTTACAATTAATTCAGTACAAAATTCTACACAGAGTACACTATACAGGTCATTGGATGTTCAAGATGGGGTTTGTGTCGTCTGACACCTGTACACACTGCACAAACAACATTCCTGACAATTACACCCACGCACTGTGGTCCTGTCCACCTGTCCAGGAATTTTGGGGTAGAGAATATGAAGACCTGTCAGTGTCTGAAATGTCATATCCCATCTTCTCCCTCTCTTTGTTTACTGGGAAACCTGGACGATGTCCCGATTGAAACATCTTTGGTTCATGTGGTTCTGACTGCCATATGCATCGCTAAGAAACTATCCTCATGAATTGGAAAAATAGAGATACTCTTTGCATTAACCAGTATAGAAATATTTTGTTAGATCATATTACACTTGATACAGCCTCTGCTTCCACTTCAAGTCAATCTCTTTGGGCTCCTTTGATCGGTTCCATCAGATAGCGATGATGGGGGTCATTGATATTGTCCTGCGTGATGATGTGGGTGATGGGGTGGAGGGTCTGAGTTTGGAGTATCCGGACATTCCCTGAGGGTAGGTTCACTGGGTGTGTCTGGGGCCGGGGGGCTGCTGCCCCCCTCTGGAGGTGCTTGGGTTGCCTCGGGGGGTGGACTGCTGGCGGCTGTGCGTGGTGCCCCTTGGGGGTCTTGGTGGTGCCATGGGTTTTTGCCTAGTGACTGCATTGCCCCCCGAGTAGGTATGGGTGGGGACCTGGGGGCTCGGGGTGTGTGTGTGTGTGTGGGTTGGGGGGGGGGGGGGGGGGGGGGGGGTCGGGGTCGGGTCCTGACATGTATGCTGCCAAAAAGAAGGCGGGAACATGTGGCAGTGCCTTACCCAGGCTCAGGGGCCTCGGGTAGACCTTGGCTCCTCTGCTGTCCATCACGGGGAGGGGGATGTCCAGGAGGGAGAGGACCCAACCTTACCTGGATGTTCTATGTATTATATATAATATAATATTCTGGAAGCTGTGCAAATGCAGGGATGGGAGTAGATATTCTGCTGGGGTGGGGCTGTATTGGTTCCTTCGGACTCCGTGGAGCTCTGCGATGCTGCTGCTTTGGGCCCTGGCGAGATGGGCTGGGGTCTCCATGCCCTGGGTGGCATTTTGGCAACGGAGGTGCCTATTGGGGCCAGTGGGGGAGCTGGCTCCCTGAAGGGCTTAGGCCAACCAGCCATTCCTCCCCATCCCCACACATTTTTCTCCTCCTGCTACCACACATCATCACACAAACATGCACATAGGACCTTGGGGGGTAGAAATGTCAGCGGGTGTGGTTATGGACCCCATTTCCGCATTCCTGTGCCAGACAGCCCCCAATTTTACTTGCACATTAAACACTTCCACCAACGACATTCCACACAAACATACACAAGGGAATCTTCCAGCCTCATCCCAAGTGCCGGTGCCCACTTCCAATTTTAAACTGCACTTAGACACAGAGGGCTGTGGGGAGAAGAGGGGTAGTGTGGTGGCATCAGCTGGCGTCGGCCAGACTATGCCTGCACTGCCCGCTCACCACAGCCCCTAATACACCTCATCAACACACACCAACACAGTAGTGGAGCAGGCGGAGGGAGACTAGGGGTCTTAGCACACCTCTGTTGTCGCTTGGCTTTGCGGGGCTGGAGGCTGGGAGAGGGATCTGACCATCTGGCTGGGGTCTGGGCTGGTGGGTTGCTTTGATCAGCGTTGGGTGGGGGAGCCTGCTCATCAGCACCCCAGCAGAAAGGGTTGAACTCTGGTAACCGGTGATGGTTGTACCCCATGTGCAGCAGTACCGGGACCAGAGTGAATAGGGTGTGTATGGGGAGCATGAGTGGGTGTCTGGAGTGCATTTTTGTAAGTCTTAGGTTGTTTGTGTGTGTGTAAGCATGACACACACATTAAAGATGTGTTCAGCAAAGAAGACCTTCACCCTGTCAGCTAACACAGAGTTCAGATAAACAATATGCAGCACATGTTTTGACGCATGACCAAGCTTTCTTCCGGAGAGAGAGGGGGAGTGTTCTGAGAGAGTTTGGTAACAACTAACCATCACAGATTTCACATCCAGTTCTTCAACCAACACCATGAGGAATGGAGAACGGCGTCTCCTTGACCCTCTGCAAGCTGTTCTGTCATGCCGACAAGAATGGCTAAAGAACAAACGAAACTAACGAGCTAACGAAAGACTCTCCCAGAGTCATTTGATTTCTGAAGTTAAGTTAAGGTGATAACGTGCATCTGCCAAACGCTTCGTACAGCCGTGTACCCAGGACATCTCTGGACCGGACGATCGGACACTTGCGTCTACTCTGCCAGCCGACGTGCCACCTTGGATGAACCCATCCTCCTGACGTCCGGATCCACAAAGGGGTCCTGTTTTGGGTGAGGTAGAACACGACAGATGACGTTTGATGCTGTTTTCTCTAAAAATAACTCAGTTATCCGCAAAACATCATTTCATCCGGAACACCTTCCATTCCCTCTGAAAGAAACCTTCTGAGAACTGCATTCACGCATTCAAAACTCATCATTCTCAAATTGGCTCCATGCAACACAGGTTTGCTTTTAAACAAGTAATATCAAAGCTGTTAAGGATTGTCATTAAAATAGCCATTTATGAATTGTCATTTTATGATTGTCGTTTCAAATCTTTCAGTTTAAAATTGTTAGTAAATAAATTTCTTCATTTTTAAACTTGCCTCATTATTGAAACGAAACACAGAAAAGGGTTGCATTTCCAGTTTATCGAATGAAAAGAATCTTACTGAATCTTCTGTTTAATAAATAACCTTTGCTATTAATTTAAGCATCTTAAATTAATATTTCACACCATTACATATGGGGGGTGAAATAAAATAAAAAGAATAAAATGTTAACAGGCCCAGTATCCACATATGTGCACACTGGGCCCTTGGAGGTCAAACAAATTAATAAATGTATGCCATCCAAAACATCAAAGAGATACAGAGGCATAAAGGCATCATGCAGGCCATTCTAAACGTTATCAAACTTACCTAAAATCATCATTAGGGAGTTAATAACCTCCTAAAATCCTGCTTGGTGCAGTTTACACTTATTTTATTTGCAGCTTGGTTGCCAAACACACTTCTTACCTTTTCACAATGCCAGAAATTAAAAGCCCTTGTGAATGATTTTGTTAAACCGTTGATTATGTTGTTCAGGGGGATTGCTCCTGATGCATTCTTTATTTGGGTTTTATCGAAACAGCACAGACGCTTACCGAGTCCCACAAGAATATGTAATCTAATCTAATTATCCATTACTTAGCAACAAAAGCAGCTGTGTGCTAATTTAGCACCTGCAATCCTTCGACTCAGCCTACGCGGTTAACGTGTCGTACCAGACCACCAGGTCCTTTGTTGACTGGGAAAACTAGGAGTTAACGACTCAAAACTGGACGATCTTACCGCAGGTCTTGTTGCTATGTAACATTTAAACTCAAGCTTCGTTTGTTCCCAGTGAGAGGATAGTTTCTACAGCCAGAGACATCGTAACTGACAGCAAATCGGTCTTTTCAACAGACAATGTGAACAAATTAATTTGTTTTTCTGCAAAATCCATGAAAATTGAACAAACTTAACTCTAACCTCACCTTTGACCTATTTTCATCCTCTTTTGTCATGTCCACAGTTAATTTTTAATATGAATAACACAATACAACAATAATACTTGTATACTGTACAAAAGTTCTTTCTCAATTACAAAAACCTTTTGAGGTATTATTAAGCTCTGTGATGGCCACATCCATGTCCACACAACGGTGAACGTTAGTACACTCTTGCACTTTTATGATTGCAGTTTGTATATATTTCTTGGGATTTATTGTTTAGATGGCTTAAATACATTAGTTCTAATTGTAAGCACGCACATTTAGTTAACTGCTGTATTTTATGCCTTTCATTTGTTCAATTTAAGTTGATTAGTTTTCTCTTACCGGTGCTGAGAGGTTCTCCACTTCCTGCTTCCTGAGATGGGACAGGCAAACAGGGGTTCTGTCAGCTAAATACAGGAGGAGCTGATGGGGCCAAACCAATAGCTCCCTGAAGAGGGGACTGAAGAATTTCCTTTAGTTTATTATTTTGTCATTTGTTAATTAATTTAAGTTTCAAGTTAAATAGTTAGGTTCATGGGTTAGGGTGTTTAGGTTTGTTAACAATCTGACTGTACTGATTTGTGGTTTTAGTTTTAGTTAGTAAATGTTTGTCTAGTAATCCCTATTGTTCATATGGTCTGATCAGCCAGTGTGTATATATACCCTTGTGTGTCTTTGTTTGGGAGGTCGGTTATGGTTTCAGTCAGTCAGTATGTTAAGTTAGACGTTTATTGAGTTTCAGGCCACACGTAGCCGAGATTTTAAAAAAAAAACGAATATCCGCCCCTCCAAAAACTTGCATCCACACCACCTCGTTTTAAAAACAAACTCTGTCCACACGTACCCGGATAAATACGTTGTTAAGGACATGCCAGACCTGTAGGCGGCAGTACTTCCCCCGTTCTTAACCTCGTCCTTCGTCTGCGGTCTTCCGCAAGGAGCAGTAATTCCGCTTGCAAAAACAAACAAGCAAAAAGCGCTTGGACAATTGATAAAGCGAGTGCAGTTCTGAGGGCATCCATGCTGTCGGCTAGTGTAAACACAGGTCGCACACGTGATGTCAGCATTTTTTTGTCGCGGAAAGTGACGATGCGGACCTTTAAACTCTGGTTTTGTCTGTCCACACGCAGACACCCAAAACGGAGAAAACGCAGATCTTCACTTTGGCCGGAGTTTTTAAAAAGATCTCTTTACGTGTGAAAAAACTCCATTTTCGTGTGGATGACAGGCCAAAACGTAGAAAACTATCTACGTTTTGGCAGATCCCCGGCTACGTGTGGACAGGGCCTAAGTTTGTTTGTTTGACCTCTTTTATGAGCTCGAGCTGTTTTTGTGAGGATATTTTAAAACAAAAAGGAAATTAAAGAGTCTCTATTTTTGCAAATTGCCTGTGTTCCTCCACTCATTTGGCTTGATCCCTCACAAGCTCCAAACAAGTCCATGACCTACCTGACATCAACGCTGCTTCATCACTGATAATACTGAAACCAAATTTGCAATTCTTCTTTTAGAATATGTATTCCACCCACTGAGGCGTATGCTAATGTGTAACCTTCTGAGGGTTTAAAAATGCCCGCAGCTTATCAGGAACTCAGATTTGGAGTTACGGGTCATGAAGAGGAAACGTTTTGTTTACTGAAGACTCATAAAGAGCTAGACTAATGAGCATTTTGATCTGGATGTGATTTCAGGTAGTCCAGGTACGGTCTGGTGCCTTTATGTTGTTGTAACAGATAAAAGAAACACATAGAGATCACTAACTTTGTGTGCAGGTCCGATGTCTCAGGAGGACTTCATGGTTTCAATGGCATGTTGGTGTCTCTGCTGATGGGTGTGTTCAGCTCAGCTGGAGACTGGTACTGGTGGCTGCTGCTGCCCGTCTGTCTGGGGTCAGCCACATGGTGAGCCTCCACACACACACACACACACACACACACACACACACACACACACACACACACACACACACACACACACACACACACACACACACACACACACTTGTACAGACTACTCATTTTGCAGCTCACGGTTGGTCTAAATAACATAATTTTTACTCTAAGATTTACTAGATTATTAAACCTAATTATTAAAACGTTGGTTATGTTGGGAAACAGCAGATTTCCTCTACTTTTTACTGCATCCTGAGCTAGCACTGGTGACTGTGTGTAGATAGAACCTCGAGTAGAACCAGAATCAGGTTTATATACTTAGATAGCCCGTCTCCTTCCCCAGTGTCTTCCTGTCCAGTGGACTCTCCTCCTTCCTGGACCGCTGGGACCTGCCTGCATCTGTGTTTCCCTTTAACACCGTCATCCTCCTCTACCTGCTGTGTACTGGATCAAATAACCCCTACTTCCCCCACCACCCAGCTGTACCAGGAGCAACAGGCCTCAACAACACAGAGCTTGTTGCTCTACAGGTGAGGACCACCAAAACCAAACGAGAAACCTGGGATCATCTAAAAACTCTCTGGGAGTGTTTCTGACTTCCTGTGATTTCTACTGAACTGAATTTTTATTTCTCGTGTCTTCTGAAAACTCTTTGTTCCTTTGGAAGGTCCATTTCCACTTTTGTGACTAGTTTTACTAAACTAGGTATGTGTGCGTCTCCGTTTCAGTGGGCGGGCCAGTAAAGATCACTTTCTTGGCCATTTCAGGAACCACAGAGTACCTTAAGGCCTTAAGGTGTGTTCTCAGAAAGGCCCGGTGGAGGGACTTGTAGATAACTCATGCTGATTGGTTGTAAATCAGTGTGTTATCAGCTGCCATCACAAATAACTGCCATTTGTAAAACTGGAAGAGTTGCTGTCAAAGAAGAATTAAAGTAAAAGAAAACCGGCTTCACTGAAGCTGCTTTGAAAGAACTTTTTCTAAACTCCAAATGTCAAAAAAGCCAAACAAGTCCTTAAACAGGCAATTTTGCAACAGCTGAGAGCATCAAGCTAGTTTATGTTCTCTATCACCCTGCCCCTAACAACAATGTCCTGGAACTCTTTTAGAGGAAAAGCACCTATTACGAAAATAAAAACGACAAGACAACAAGATGAGCATCGCTTCGTAGTTCGGTTCTCTGAGATGCAGCACCACTCTCCCACCCCCGCTAACTACACCGTAACACTTTTGTACCCAGGGTAACCCTGGATGTGTACTCACTAAGTAAATACTTTTCAGATTGTCACATCTACTGCTTTAACTCCCAGCCCCGGACATAACCTTTACCAGCCTAAACATGTCTGGTTAGCGCCGGCTAGTTCAAACAGCGTCCGGCTCTGAACTCTGATTGGTTCTTTTCGAGTGGAGTCCCGCCTTTTCCATTTGCTGATTGATTCTTTTACCCGGTCTCCCATCTTTCGTGTTTTCTGATTGGACTTTTGTTTTTGACAATTTTCATTGTCGTCTCTTTTTCGTCAACGACAATGTCGGTCAAGATTCATCATAATTTAATATTTATTGGTGTGTGTGTGTGTTTTCGCTTGTGTTTCCTTTTAGTCCACGAAAATTAATTGGGCACAACCCCCACCCCCCCCCACCCGAAAATATTTTGTCAATGAAAACAACACTGACATAAAATCAAATCCAAAGTAAAACTTTAGGGTTGTAAGGTAATCCTGGTCCCATCTGACCTCTAAACACCAATTTTTATCATGAAGTTGATCGTCAAACCTTCTGTGAAGGATGACAAGTTGGTGTTTGTTGCTAAAAAAGGAAATTATGAGACATTTTTTTCATATGAATGCATGTAGTTTGTTGATAGTTTAATATACACCAATAAGATTTTTTTGGAAAGTAAAGAATATTTTTTTCTTTATTTAAAAAAGTTAGAACTGAAACCCATTGGCTCCATTTAAAGCTCATCCATCCTGCAGATTTTAGTGTCACGTCAGTTGCAGATGATCATAAACAGACAAGGTTTTCTCAGGAGTTGTTCTCAAGTCTTTCTTCAGGGTAAATGCAGAAACGTCTCCACTGCTGGAGCTTTGACGTGTTGAACAAAAACCAGCAGAAGGTAATTAGTCTTGTTTTCTCAGGTTGAAAGCTCCTGCCAGCTGAGAAGGTTACTGCTAGAATGAGTCTGACCTTTCAGGAAAAAGGAGAATGTTTCCAAGAAGAACATGTATCACCTTGAGAAAAAATATACAAATAAACCAATAAATTACACAGAAATTACATATTTTTACAGAATTTTTCAGAAATGCCCCAAATCATAACGTGAAAAAAAGAGCCTTTCTGCACGTTATTCAGAGAAGTTTTATTGCAAATATTGATCTGTGGAGGTCCTTACTATGAATACGTTTCATCCTACATCAGTACTGTAGGTTACCCAGTTCTGATAAAAATTTATCAACGAATGTGTCTGCAGTTTGAATCCTGAGTGAAACTTATGATATCAAATCTTCATCTGGTTGTGTTTAATGTTTAAATAGGGACATTCTTCTGTCACATACTGAAATAAGTTATTGGGAGGCAGTATTTCTGCACATCGGGGCTAATAAATATACCTCATCAGCATCTCCTCTCCTATTTAAATGTGTAAAAATCTTCAGAGTTTTAACCCTCCTCCAGGAAAAGCCAGAGGAGTGAATAATATGCAGAAGAATTATAAAGTCTCATTCTTTTGCACACTGGCTATCCATCACTCCATTCATTCTTTGGTGTCATTTTTCTAAAAAATCCATAAAGTAGAATCTAATTTCCTGCTATAAGACGACATATACCAGGAAATAAATATATTTTGAGCCATTTTAACTCAATCCTGGAGCCCACTGGTGTGAGACTGATCTTATTTCCTGACTTTACAGGATCTAGATTAACCCTTAATGTGCTTTTACATAAGCAACGTAATGTTGCTGTACTGGTATTTTAACACCACTATGTGTATGAGCTTCTATTGCTTTTAATGCAAATACAAAAGCATGCATGGGAACATTTAAATATTCAGGTTAGAATAACCTATAAATCAGCTTTAATGTGGAGGCAGGACGTTCAACAAAGTGAGAATAAAGAATCCAAAAATGAAAAAAGACTAGAAATTGTTGGCAGATTAAAGAATGGTGCAAGAAGGACAAAGGTCTGACAAGTCGATAAAATAACAATAATGACTTGAACCAAATAAGAAATTTTGAAAAAGATATGATAAGAAAATCCATGAACTCCGAATAAAACTCACCAGAGAGGAAAGGAAACATAAATAAACCCAAAAAAGATAAAACTCAAGAATCATTAAAAATAATTAAAAAACTAACAAAGAACTCACTTTAAAATGTAATGCTGTCACATTTGACTCACGTGTTGCTAAGCAACAGTCTCAGATGGAGTTCTTGTTTGAATTGCTTTTTTCAGAAATGGTAGAAATTACAACTTGTTGAATGAACAAAGATATTTGTGCTTTTTATTGAGGCTTTCCTCAATTTTCAATCCAGTTTATTCGTACAGGACAAAATCACACGAAGTCAACTCCAGTAACTTCCCAAATTAAACATTCCTCTCCCGTAACTAAAACTTCATTCACACACACACACACACACACACACACACACACACACACACACAACATTTATAATATTGAGAGACAGATCCTGAAAAACGTAATGACTAAAAAACTAACCGGGTTGCTCTGACTCTTTTATTGTGGCGGGTGCTAGCCTGAGCTCTACATGATCCTGTTTGCTAATTTGTTTTATGGCAGCAGCCCAGAGTTTTACAGAACTTAAACTATTCTCTAACTTAAGTTCTTACTTTTATGATACTTGATATTTAGAAACAATAAAATAAAATTTCCTTCAGGAAACACATTATGCTCAGAGGCTCCAACGTACTGCAGGTAATTGCTCGGGGACCCCAGGCCACTAGGGACCCTCAGGAGGATGACAAGCTTTAAACCAAGTCAGAAACACAATGTTAGTGAGAGTGAAAAACTGACAGCAATATTTGCCGTCTCACATTCTCTGACGAGGACCACCCTTCTCCCGATTGCTCAGCCAATGACTGATCACACACTGCTGACATCCCCAACCCCTGGTGGAAAAGCTCGTCTGTCCCCAAAGGAGAAACGGCCTCATGGGTCCAATTATGTGCAATCCTGTGGAACTGTGCATGTTATGAAAGACTCTAAACCAATAAAGCAAACATATAGCTTGATTTTTGTAAAAATGACTTTAAAGTGTTCTTTGCTTTCAAACGTCAGTTGGCTTTGGTAGCCATCTTTAATTGGGTTGGCTCCAAATGTTATTTAGTTGTAGATGTTTATCCAATAAAAATGTTATAGGAGTGTCATTAAAATCTAGCTAGTGGTGTGTTAGGTATTTACCTAATGGAGGGGCTAAACTGAAGTCTGAAACAAAGCTCTACATATACTTTGACTACTATCACCCTAATCTTGATCAGAACATCAGTAAAACTGACTCAGCTCTCACCGTTTCCTTATGGTGACTAGCTGTCACAGCCATCTGGAACTGGACTGGCTTCAGCTATTACACGTTTCCCACTCGGGACAATACACCATCACACACTTTTCTCCCTGTAGAGATGGGATTGTCATGGTTTCATCTACCTTGTCTTTGCTGTGGTAGGGCCTGATGTTGTAGAGGCGAGAGGTAGGGAAGAGAGGAGGAGGATGGGTGAAGAGTTCACTGCTGCTGCCTATTGGGAGGAGCATCTATGCAAAACATAACCACACACACACACACACACACACACACACACACACACACACACACACACACACACACACACACACACACACACACACACACACACCATTTATAAAATATAGAGACAGATCCTGAAAAGTGTAATGAACACATAAAAACACTCATGTTGTTTTATCAAATAAACATATTTCTACTAACACTGATTAACCTGAGCTGCTGCTCTCAGAAGGCAGCTCAGGTTCTCACCATCTGCTGTCCTCGGGTATTAAACTCACAAACCAGCTGTTGCTTGGATGTTTCAGGAGGGAATAAATGTTGAAGCAATGTTTCATGTCAAGCCATCACATAATTTCTCACCTGCTTTAGATCAAATAAATGAATAAGACCCCTAAGTTTGTGTTTGTTCGGTTTGGACTGATGAGCTAACAGCTAATCTGAGTTTGATTTTCTGCAAACATGAAACAGATCAGAACTCTTCATGTTCAGAGAATTAGAAAAAATCACAATCGGAAGGGTTTATAACCAGAAGGCATTTATTTGCCACATGTGCAAGAAATCCCAACATTAGGAAATTGCTGCAGTGCTTGGTGCAAAAGAAAGACAAAAACAAGAGATAAGCAAATCAGAATCAGTATCAGAAGTTTTCATTGCCATATGTGTGCCAAGTCACATTAGGAAATTGCTGCGGTATTTTGGTGCAGAAGGTAAGATAGAAAAAAAATAATTAAGAGATAAGCAAATATAAGAACTAATAAAACACTCATGATAAA